TGCCAAGCGATTGAAGAAGTCTTGTTTTATTTTTTCAGTCTTCGATAGTATTGACACTGCGATAAATTTTAAGGTCATCTGCGTAAAGGAGAAAGTTCGTAAAATGGAATCAATCACCGATATCGTTCACAAATAATATAAAAAACAAAGGCCCAAGAATAGATCCTTGCGGTACGCCTGAGCTGACATTTATGATATTAGATGAGAAACCATTAACCATTAACCGTTCCCTCGTATTCCATTGAACGCTAATTACTTTAAAAGTATGTTATGATCAACCTTATCAAAGGCCTTAGCGTAATCAGTGTAAATTGCTTCTACTTGCAAACGGTTATTCATGCAGTGAAAAAGATAATTTGTGTAGAGAACAAGGTTAGTTGTTGTTGAGCGATGCTTTACAAATCCATGTTGTTCAGGTATAATTATGTTATGTAATATCGGATAAATGTGCTTATGTATTAGCCTCTCAAGAACATTAGATATAGTTGATAACAAAGATATGGGGCGGTAGTTAGAAACGTCGTTTTTGCACCCACTCTTGTAGACTGGTGTTACATTGGCGTTCTTCCATATCTGGGGCATAGTCCCTTCACTAATACATTGGTTAAAGATAAGATACAAGGGAACACTAATAGCTGCGGCGGTGTGTTTGAGAAAAAATGGTGGAAGGCCGTCAGGTCCAGGTCCTTTGTTAATATCGAGTAACATGAGCTCTTCGACTAAGCTATCCTCAGAAAAGCAAGAAATAATCTCGGAATTGGGATTAGTAGGCTGGTTACTAAAATTCTCCTGCTGTAAGTGCTGTCTATTTTCATATACAGAGCTGAAAAATTCAGAAAATAATTCACATATACCCTCAGGTGTATCCGATTTTTTATGTTTGTAAAACATAACGTTAGGAATTCCACTTTTACCTCTGCGATTATTAACATAGGACCAAAATAATTTGATGTCCTTTTAAAGTCCTGTTTAAGTACTCGTAAGTAAGTTAATACATAATTTGCGATTTTTCAAAACAAACTCTTTGGAGGGTAATGGGTGGTGTGCAAATTTGAATGGAGAAATAAAAATTAGTGTTTTCTTTTTAATTTACAAATACTCTTGATTAAAAAATAATAAAGTTCGCATTTATTATTTTTTCAAAAGTTTACCTTTAATGTTTTCAAACGAGGGTGCAAAGTTTGTATAAAAAAATATATTAAGACCCATAGCCAAAACCACTGCACGTAGAAAAGTGAAAACACTAAAAACCGCTAGAAGGTGAAATAGGAAATTACAGTTTTGTGTGAAACGTTTTATTTTACTGAGCGATTGACTCAAAACTTACTATATGTACTCTGTAAATAAAATAAATGAATACGGATTTTGTAATATATAAAACCTTACGGGGGCCCCGATGATGTACAATTTTATATCCAGACATAGTACCTGTCATCGTACGTTGTCGTCGCGAGTGCATTACGTCTATTATAGTAGGTCTTTATAATATCGCATTGGTCATAATATATTTATCTAATGGCTAAGAAGCTGGTGCAAAAAAATTAAATTATTTCATCGTATGACAAGTTGATGATAAATTTAAGAAAATTAAGTAATATTGTGCCGTGTAGTGGCGGTTAAGAATATCCACTACCCCATATCTTCCGGTGGGTGTCGTAAGATGACAGTGGGAAAAAGGCAGGAAATGGGCAGCAGCATCTTCCTGATAACATCAAAATTACAAAAAAAAACTGCGGTTGCTAACCCGCTCACCAAGCGTGGCAACTATGGCAAATACCCCTCCTCCCACCATGATGAGAGTAACAAAGATATGGCCCCAGTCCCCGGCGACCATAGTAACGGCGGGGCGTGGAATTCGGTTGTCACCTAAGGCGACTTGACCTGGCAACATACAACGCACGCATCCTGAGGACTGACGAGAAGATCGTGGAGCTAGAAGAAGAGATAGACAAGTTACGCTGGCATATAATAGGATTATCCGAGCTCCGAAGAGAGAAGGAAGATACGATAATCCTCGAATCCGGCAACTTGCTCTATCACCGTGATGGCAACCATCTGTCCCAAGGAGGTGTCGGATTTATCGTCCACAAGTCTCTCGTTAACAACGTTGTAAAAATTGAGAGTGTGTCGACGAGGGTTGCGTACCTTATACTCAGAATCACCAAACGGTATTCGCTGAAAGTCATACAGGTTTACGCACCAACCTGCCGAGGTTGGTGCGTAGGGCTACTTCTGGAAAAAAGAGTTCATTATAAAGAGTCCCTCTATCTCCGTGAAGTCGTCCAGCTGCTGGCCCCTTGGGTTCTGTTGCCCTATTCCGAATTTCCCTACTTTCAGCTCACCGTTCTTTCTTGTGCCTAGTTTTTCGTTGAAGTCTCCCGTAACACCGTATAGTGGGTTTTGGAGGAATGCATGGCTCTAGAGATATCCTCATACATTTCCTTTACCTCCTCATCGGGACCGGTGTCGACATCGCGAGGGTGAAAACCGGCAGCGATCATCGAATTGTGAGAGGCACACTGAACCTAAACGTTAAGTTGGAGAGTTCTTGTCTAATGAAGTCAACGCTCCGTCACCCTTGTGCTCTATTCCAAAGTCCCGAAACTTTTCAGCTCGAGTTACAAAACCGTTTTCAGTGCCTAGAAGACTGCAATGAAGTGGAAGATATGAATGACAAGCTCGTGGAAACTGTCCATGCGGTTGGAGCTAAGTTCTGCAAAATCCGCCGCAGAAGAACACAAAAACTCTCCGATCACACTCTTAATCTCATGGCTGTTAGACGGGAGATGAAGCTACAGTCTTAAATAGATTTGACAGCACACAGGCAACTAAATAGACAGATATCCAAATGCATGCGGCGGGACTTACGCAACTTCAATACAGCTTGTATTGAAGAAGCGATCGAGCGGAACCAAGACTCCAAAGTCTTTTCCAGAGATATGTCTGCGAGAAAGAGCCACTGTCAAAGCTGAAGACCGAGTGTGGTAGCATCGTTTCCGGGACCCCTGAGATTTTGAGTGAGATTGAGAGGTTCTATGGGCAGCTGTACACGTCATTGTTTGAACTACACGCAAGTGTAAGTAACGATCCAAGAGCGAGTCTTATCCGACACTATTTCGAAGATATCCCGGACGTCAGTCTGAGCGAGATTAGAATGGCTCTCCAGCACCTTGAAAAGGGCAGGATCCCACGTGAGGATGGAATTACAGTGGAGCTTTTGAAAGCGGGTGGGAAACCGGTACTTGAAGTCCTTCAGAAACTCTTTAACTCCATCCTCCATGGTGGCACTACTTAGGAGGCGTGGAACAGAAGTGCGGTGGTCTTGTTCTTGAAGAAAGGCGACAACGCTCTCTTGAAGAACTACAGACCGATTTTTCTTCTGAGTCGCATCTACGTGCTGTTTTCGAGTCATTATGAATCGTATCGCGTGCAGACTTGACGACTTCCAGCCTCCCGAACAAGCCAGTTTTCGAAAAGGCTTTAGTACCATAGACTACATACATACCCTTCGGCAAATAGTACAGAAAACAGAGGACTATAATCTACCACTTTGCCTTGCGTATGTGGACTATGAGAAAGCCTTTGATTCCGTCGAAATTTGGGCGGTGCTGCAGTCCCTTCAGCGGTGCCAAGTTGACTGCCGGCATATGGAAGTGCTGAAGTGCTTGTACAGTAGGGCTACGATGGCTATCCGAGTACAGAACCAAAGTACGAAACCTATCCAATTGTAGAGAGGTATAAGACAGGGTGACGTTATATCCCCGAAACTCTTCACTGCTGCATTGGAAGACGTTTTCAAGCTACTGGACTGGATAGGATGCGGTATTAACATCAATGGCAAGTACATCACTGAACTTCGATTTACCGACGATATAGTCCTTATGGCAGAATCGCTGGAGGACCTAAGCACTATGCTCAATGACCTCAATAGTGTCTCCCAACGGATAGGTCTTAAGATGAACATGGACAAAACAAAAATCATGTTTAACGTCCATGTCACACCTATGCCGGTAATTGTTGGGAGCACTAAGCTCGAAGTTGTTGACGAGTATGTTTACCTGGGACAAATAGACGGACTAGGTAAGTCCAACTTCGACCGTCGTCAATCGACGGATTCAACTCGGCTGGGCAGCGTTCGGGAAACTACGACACATCTTCTCGTTAGACCTACCTCAAAACCTGAAAACGAAATTGTACAACCAGTGTGTGTTGCCAGTGATGACTTACGGATCTGAGACGTGGTCCTTTACTGCTGGACGTATGAGGAAGCTCAAGGTCGCTCAGCGAGCTATGGAGAGGGCTATGCTCGGGGTTTCTCTGCGTGATTAACTTAGAAATGAGGATATCCGCAGTAGAACCAGAGTAACCGATATAGCCCAACGGATTAGTAAGCTGAAGTGTCAGTGGGCCACCCATATAGGTCGAAGAACCGACAACCGATGGGGAAGGAAGGTTCTCGAGTGGCAGCCTCGTACCGGTAGGTGAAGTGTAGGGCGACCCCCCACTAGATGGAATGACGACCTGGTAAGACATGCAGGAAGTCGATGCTTTTGCGACCGTGCTTTGTGACATTCCTTGGGGGAGGCCTTTATTCAGCAGTGGACTTATGAAAGGCTGTAATGATGATGAAGCAATATTATATGCTCAGCCACAGTCAACACTTGTGAAAAACACAAATGATTGGTTTTCACAAAATACGAAACACGAAGACACGAAGAATACGAGGTTAAAACCAATGAGTGTCTTTCAATTTAGTGCGTACATTTATGAAGCTAATATATTTCCTGCACAAATTATATTTTATGGAATCATTCGTAAATTGAAGCTGTGATCTACTTAACTCTCCACACGCCCACACTGGTACGCATATGCTGGATGTTCAGGCAGAGCATGCTCGATGTTCATCGGTGGCAGTGGTAAATCGGTAACACATCAAAGTTGTGTGACATGTCACTAATTTTGTAATAAAATAATATCAAACAATTATTTTCTGTACGTACCCTTAATATTCTATACGGGCTCTCAGCCAATAAGCAAACCTCGCCAGAGACAGGGTTGTCTGGCGTTTGGCATGGCAGCATAATTTGAAGCTCACCGCCAGGATCCGCAATCTTTTTTCGTGGGTCCCGTTGCCTGCCAGTGATGGACCAAAACCACCCCTGTGAATAGAAAACATAGAGTTATAAATCCATGCGTGATTTGATATATAAAACAGTAACCTCTTTAAATTTGATGATGGCTCATCAATTTTTTATAGAATGGGGTAATAAACGAGCACACTAAAACACTGTATATACAAAAAATATACTGTCTTATTGGTTCATCTTTATTCGAAGGCAGTTCAGAATAATATAGAAGCTAAACTTGGTTTAAAACAGCGCACTAGTATCTTTACTGAGACTGAGATTTTAATTTAAAAAGTTAACAAAATGCTTGATCTATTTCTTTCAATATTTATAATTTGTTCTCTGTGACAATATTTAAGGAGTCATGGCCTTTTTACAAGAAATAGTACAAGTCTCGGGTTTAAACTGAAAAATATTTTATAAGTTCTGTGAAGCTGTAGCGCCGCGGCTAAATTACTTCTTTAGTAAAAGGGATTATTCTTATACTACAGTTTAAGCTCGATACTATCAATAAACCATGTTTTGTAGTTGACAGTATGTGTTTTAAGATGTAGATAACACTGCTGCTGCTGCTGTGCTCTGCTACTATACTTTCATATCTTTATAGAAAACTGGACCATCAAATCGTCACAAAAAAGTGCCAAGATAAAATACGAACACTGATAGCAATAGTAAATACGAACGGAAACGACTGTTTATTATAATAACGCTATTGAGCGTAAGATTTATTTTTAAGCATTCTTAAAATATTTTTTGACGGTGAGCGTTGAAAAGAGTGCTTTTGAATAACTATGTTGGGATGTAGGGCTTGCAGTCTAATGATATCGTGAAATTTACATTGTTATCTTAGCGATCTGTGAGCCGAAACAGTGGTGGCGGATTTGTATGAATTATTTGCAACCTAAAAATAAGTTTATTATGATATTCATTTTTAACGTGCTCATAAACTTTATAAACTGCGCCTAATTAAATGCTTATTATTTAACTGGCTACTCCAAGGGATAACGAAAGGGATTGGCTACGTCACGTGCCTGGATGGATCTTACCGTTCAAATCGACAAATACGAGTAGAGCTAGGACGAGCCAGTTTACGGACATACACTTCAAACGGGGATAATAGATAACTCATGCTTCCACTAAATGGTTAAACCACTGTGATCATCATCACCATTATTATCACTAGTAATATCATCATCATTACTTTTTAATATTGTTAAGCTTAATTAATAATTTAAATAAGAATTTTTACTTTAAAAATTGGTTGTTAACAAAGGTTAATATTATTTTTATTAAAAGAATTTTTTCGTAATTAATCTTTATTTTGTTTTTTTTATATAAAATTAAAGCGACAAACGAACCTACAGTCCACCTGATGGTAAATGGTTAATACAGTTCATAGACATCAGCAGCCAACTTCAAACAAAGAATGCTACAAATTAGTTTTCATCTCCGAGGACTAAGATGGAATGCCTCTTAAACTGTAACTATACTGACCCTATACCCTTCAAAACACATAAACATATTTACGTCACTTCGAGAGCATCACACATAGTCACGATATGACTCAGTATGCAGACTGATGACTAACAAAAACTGCAAAATTAGGTCAATTCGAAATATATTCGCGTAAATATAAGAAATCATAATGTTTTTTTTTATTTTCCTCTAGAATTTCACCACATTTTTTGTATCAACTACGTTGTTCAATTAGTTAGGATATACCTAATATGAGCCGCAAATGAGGAACAAGGTCGGTCCTAAGACTCTTGTGTTTCCAAGGTGAGGGCTGGTTAGCGTCGCCGTAGAATAAATTGGGAAAAATGTTCAATCTTATTGTAGTGTGAGTTCACATTAAATTAGCTGTTTAACTTTAACATATTGGATTATCAATATATTATTGCTAAGCAAGTACTTTTGCATAAGCTGCAAATTTATTTTTCTAACGCAAATTGAACAGTCCTTGATATAATTAGCAAACAAAAACTCAAATAAATATTTTTTTTTTGTTATATTTACTTAGACTTGTTAAGCGCATCTTTTAGAAATATTGTATTTGTAGCAATTTGTTGTAGGCCACTCAATAAGTTTTGAGATATACAAAAAGTACTCTAGATACTATTAATATTTATTTTATATCTTTTCAAAATATTCTCCATCATGCTCTATACAAAGTTCCATTCGCCTAAACCAACTCTGAAAACACTTTTGCCAGTCTTAATCTGACAGGTCGGAAATCGTTTCTTCGTAGGCAGCCACGGCTTTTTCGGCACTTGAAAAAAAATTGCCTTATATTTTTTCTTTGACTCTCGGGAACAAAAAGAAATCACAAGAAGCTAAGTCAGGGCTGTAGGGTAGTTTCAACACCAGATTCCTCAATAAATGCTTTTGTTTTAAGGGAGGTAGTGAAGAGGCGTTATCGTGATGCAGCATGATTTCCCTAAGCCCGGTCTTTGGTCTTCTCTCCCGCACAGCTTGAAAAGCTTTTGATAATGCAACTGTAGTATACCATTCAGAATTGACTGATCTACAATTTTCCAGCGTTGACGTCAACAAATGTCCGCTCCGCGAAAAAAAGCTAGCCACCATTTTTTTGCCGACGTTGCAAGTTCTTTGCAGTTTCTGTCAGTAACTGTCCTTCTGAGAAGACCTATACCGATGATTGCCTTTTATTTTCCGAATCATATTGATAGATCCATGTCTCGTCACCAGTAACGATTTCTGAAACACGCCCAGATGTCCCGTTTTCAAAACGTAGATGCGCGATTTCATGGCACCAATCCACACGAGTCTGTTTTTTGCTTTCGGAGAGAAAACGAGAGATGCATCGACAACAAAGCTTCCTCACTCCAAGATGTTGATGTAGGATGGTATGAACGCTCCTCGAACTTTTCGATGTCATATAATCAATACATATACATACATAGAATACATACAATCTTTTCGATGTCCGTATATGTGATTCGTGGGTCTTCTCGCACCAACATTTCAGTAGTCTATTTATTTTCTGCCGTCACTGGTGTTTGCGGGGCCCCGGTTCTTTGGTCATCTTTAAGATTAATTTTACCCCTTTTGGATTAAAAATTGTTACGCGTGATGGAGCTGAGTCCCCTAATGCTGATTGTAACCGTTGTAAACTAAATTGTTCGGTTAAACCAAATTTAATATCATAATATATCATAGCGAGCAAATGTTCACGGTTAAGATCGATCGTTTTAAATGAAAAGCGCGGAAAGCGTTGCAGAAAAATTAATAGAACTTTGTTTTTTTTTTTAATATTGAAAATTGGCTTATGGAGTTCCATTTTTAAATAAATTTGCTTTTTAGAAACATATAACATGGTTGCGTTCCGTTTTTGAATTTCGAGCATCTCAAAACCTATTGAGTGACCTACGTATTAATTTAGATCCAACGATACTGCTCCAAAGTTCATCAAAGATAATTGCACTATATAATATGTAAGTTTTAGGATGGCATCAAATTATATCATGTGATAACAAGGATCACTACATCTAAAAAAAAAGTATTTCGAGGACATGCATAGTACTAGACTGGAACATACTGGAGTGCTGTAACTCACACTTTGCTGCTTCTTATGCTATCCCAAAAATGAAAGAAGACTGTTCCCTGATAGTGGACGCATATTTTGTTTTCATTTGCAGCTTCTCACAAATACACTGCTAAACAAATTAGAATACTAGCTTAATTGCAGCTTAATACCGTTGGGCGAGTGTAGAGAACCAGAGACCCTCACCTTCTTAGTTCTGAGGGGTAACAATGCATCTGCATATTGATTTTTAATCGAGGATGAATTTAGATGTCTATGGGCCACAGTATCTACCTACCATCAGATGGAATGTGTGCTTGTTTGTCACCCTAATTCTACAAACAATACCCTGTAGACAAAGACGAAACACGGTCTTGAACCACCATTATTTATCGACTTCTTGCATGTCTTAACATTTCGTCACTCTTTCTAGTAGAGGGCTGCACTAAAATTTGGTTACTGGACGAAGCTACCACTCGAGAACCTTTCGTTTACATAGTTCTTTGAGCTTTATGGCCGGCTCATTGCCACATTAGCTAACTGGTTATATGTTACTCAGGATCTACTGCGGATATCTTTATTATATATTTCAACAATTCTATGCCATTTATAGCTTATAATAAAAATCAAAAAGCGAATGGATTATTTATGGCTCAAAGATATTTTTAAATTTTATTCTTGGAAAAGTCGTAAAATACTTCATATATCTACACGATAGTCTCGTGTCACAACTTGTGATCTTTAATTAACTTTGCTTGGCTTCCGGGAATAAGGCCAAAGCAACCGTAGTCATCTCGACAAAAACTAATTAAATCACAATTGTGTTTCACTTGTTTCACTATTTGTAGTTTAACGTCTTTTATACTTGTTTTATGCATTAAACATAAGCCTTCATTAGGACCAAGGAATGCCACAATCACTGTTCTGTGCCACCAACATTCATCGAATTTCACTTTATCTACTGGTACTCTGTTCACCGGTACGGGTATTGCCACTCGTTAAACTATCTTCCAAATGGAACGTCGGTTTTTCCAGCGATATTTTTGACCCGTTGCCACTTCAACTTACTGATTCGCTAGAAGTTGTCAATTACCCCGGTTCTACTGTGGATATATTCATTACGAAGTCTTTTGTAAATACATTTATATCACATACATAGGTTTCAAACAAATAAAATTCATCCACCTGAAAGATTTCTAATCATAATGATTTATTCTTTTATCCTAGTCGCTATCGGATCTAGCAACTTGTTTTTGAACTACGTTAAAGTGTTTACAGCTCCGCTCGGTCGTGTGCTCGCTTTATAGGCTCATCTTAGCGAGATAAGTACAATCACCTAAAGCACCAGTGAACCTTATTTATTTCTCTCATGCTATATAATTCGTAAGGTCACTTGTTTATAGAGTTAAGAGTTGACAGTCATGGGGATTTAGTTTAAAATTCCTCCCTTCAAAAAACAAGATTATCAATGGCAGACAATCGCGGATAC